CTATAAGATATAAGAAATTACCATTGAAGGCAACTAAGTTTGATCTTATTTCTTGCCCTTTGTGAGACTCACACTACTAACATGTAAATACTATCAGCTTATTCCGTAACTGAGGAATGGGTTCAACTTACTCAGTTACTATGAGTAGCTTCCAGAAGAAAAGAAGAAAAAAATATGATTAACCACTGATTAAGCATTAATTAACCACTGATCAACTCAGCTGCCATTTCCTAATGCCAACATTAAGCAATTGATAACAGAGTTATTTATTTTCTCTAAGAATTGTGGGTATCATCTATCTGATTACATGAAAATGGAATATGATGAACAAACTGTTTGCAAAGAACATGAAAACTTTGACTATGGTGGTGACTTCCCTTTCTAAAAGTTTGTTTCTATGGTGTACTATTCTCTACACAAAACTACATAAAAGAGTTAAGACCTTGCTATTTACATTTGTCAAAATAAAGACTGGTAACACACCCTTAACACACAGCTATGTGTGTCTGTGAATATATACATCTATATGTCCAGTAAAGACAGATATAATTAATTCAAACACTAACAAGATGACTATATTAAAAAAAAATGAAAAACATTATTAGAAATGAAATACAGCATGTTGTGACATGCAATGGGAATAAAGATGTTGTCCTGTGGAGTAAGTGTTTTACTGGGCTCTACCAATTAATTTATGCTATGATAATATCATATAATGGTGATAGCCTAGTGCTCTGAGTATACTGTGTCTGGAAAGTTAGAAAACTTTTAAGAATTTAAGAATTTTTTAACGGGATGAGACAACAGTGTAACTTTACTGGCACCAATATTGATCTGTACTTCATTATGCTAAAATGCACAAGCTACTTTTTGATTCACATGCCTTCTGTATTGAAAGGCTGATTTTAAACTTTTGGGTTTTTTTTAAAATGAGAGTTAATATCAAAGACCAGAAATGTAAGGGTGAGCAGAAGTCCTCCTTCTTGTGATACATGCTACATGGCCAGTATTAGCATTTAAGATTAAATTTTCAACAGTGCACAAGGCTGTACCTCTAAGTGCCTAGCATCCACATTTGGGTCAGGTTTTTCAAGATGCCAGCAGCCTATTAAGCAGATGCACAGAGATCAGATTTTCAAATGTGCTGATGTATTTTGACAGTCCAGTTCCTTATGTTAGGTCTTAGATGGGAACGGAGCTTCTCTTACAACACCGATCTCAGTTGTGACTCCTAAGCCCTTCTGCAACATTTGGCCTGGAGGCCCAATTTAGTCCTTACTGATTAGGCAATTTCAAAAAACTGCTCACCTGCGACTCCCTGCTTAGCATTACCCTAATCAATACACGGGAACTCGTCCTAGCACGGCAGAGATGAGCAGCTCCTTTTTCCATGCCGGAGTGTTCCCGTGCGCGTGCCTGCACTCGTGTACACCTCAAGCATATTTTGTAAATATTTCACCTTCCCTTACACACGAGGAAGTAATTGGTACATGCATGTTTTGGAAACCATTCAAAGTTGATTTTCTGCGTGGGTAAACAAAGTGCTCATTGGTGCCAGCTCGCCTCATTTGGGCGGTGTGAGGCGGAACGCGGCTGCCCCGTGTCCCGCAGCTTCCAGGTACCTCCTGGCTTTTGTGTACAGAAGGGAGGAACTCGTGATACAGGCAGGACAAGGACAATGCCAAGGAAATTGTGACTTCTCTGAAGTGGAAAGGCAGTGTTAATTACTATCAAATCAATGCAGATGCTTAAATCTAACCTGATAAATTAGATATTTACATATTGAATGTAACTGTTGAAATCATGCATGTACAGACTTAACGTATGCACAACTGAAATGTCTATACATTTCAGTATTGTGCTCTTATATCTCTATTTAAACTTCTCAGAGTCTATGCACTCGGTTTGAAATGAGTGACAATCTACAATGTAGCCACATCTCGCATTTCTGGAAATTTATGGAAGCTGGTGTGGCATTGCCAGCCCTGCGTGGGGAACATTTGATAGTGGCTGTCAGAGAATCTCCCTGAAAAACTGCTACTCCTCCCCACCTTTTAGGGACCAAATGGCAGGATTATCTCACATCCAGCACTGCACAAATGGGCTCTGTAGACCTAAAGAGCGTGTGCTTCAATGCTCACGCTACGGAGATTTTTTGGCCAAAACAAAGCTTGTGGTATTTATTCAAACAAAATACAATCGATATGAAGACAATCTACAATTTCTTTTTCTTGCCTCCAAACACCAGCAGGGAAAGTACTATGACACTGTATCATAAATCACTAACACAGATACGGAGCTACAGAACCATCTTTGTCAACTGTTTACAGTAGAGTCAACCTGGGAATCTTTCTAGACAGTGTGGATATGGCAAAAATGTTTAAAACATCCAAGATTTCTTATTATATTCTCCACAGCTACAAAAATGCTAATATATTTTAAACTGAAAAAATAAATAGTGGAAGAAAGAAGAAGGAGCAATAAAAATACATTAAAATATGAATTGCGACTGGTTGATTTTCTAATGGCATTTTGGTTTTTTATATAGCTACATTTTCATTCACCAAGATCCTAGTTACATGAAAATAAGCTATTCTGCTTTTGTCTATTAAAAAAAAAAACCAAAAAAACAACAAACCAAAAATATGTAATCCAACTTAAATTTTAATTTTAACAGCATTTGGAAACTGAAACACTAAGGGCCTGATATCTACTGATGGGCTGTAATTCTGCAGGTGCTATTTTACACCTGCAGATTACTGTAGCTGCAGCTGGTAGAAGTTTGGTATCTGCTGCATGCACAAGCTGAAGCTGAAATGCTGAATGTCAGCATCTGAAACACCCTTGAAGGAGAAGTGGAATGGCTGGGCTACTTTTTAACTCCTCCCTGCAACAGTTTCATTTTAAGACAGCAATTTTATTTCTTTGAGGATGAGGGAAGGAAATGTTTTCACTTCAATGTGCCCCGAATTTTTGTATGCTGAACTGTATTTATCTCTGACATTATCCTGGTTGTAATTTCCAGTGAAGTTAATGAAGCTACAGATGATTTTGATACACTCTATGCGCAGTGTATGACTAAACTTTTTTTTGGCAGCAGTTATTTTTTATTATTACTTAAACACTTTTTTTTTTTTTTGGGTGGGGGGGAAAGTAGGGGTGATATTTAACATCATATTTGTCTTTGCTAGCCCTCATCCTTTTTGTCAAGTAAACTGCAGAAGTATTTCTAATTCAGTCTTTGAATTATAGAATTTAAATAAATACAAAAGCTCTTCTCCATTTAGACTCCTAATTGCAGATAAGTTTCTTGCTCTGATCATTAAGCATGACAAATTTTGAGAAATAACCTTCCTGGAGCTGCAAAGCATCCTCAAGTGTCTATTTACAATGGTCAAAAATTATAAATAGATCTTCAATTAAGAATAATTTTGATCTTTGAGAGGCATTTCAGTATTTTGTTAAATCTGAAATAAGATAATATTCTAAAATTAAGAGGAGAGTTAGTGGGGTGGAGAATATTTTACAAAGAAACTAATAAGCATTTTGGCTTTGCATGTTTTTGAATTATATTTCCAATTAAAAATGCAGAGTGCTAAATCACATTACAAAGATAAATAGGAAAGTACAACTTCATTGTTGAAAACAATTTCCCTCCTATCAATCTGAGGATTCATGCATCAATATTGTAGATGAACTGTTAATTACAAAATCAATTAAAAAATTATTTCTAAAAACAGTCACGCGTCCTGGCTCTCAGGGGGGCAATTTGGGCAGAAGGTCTCATCTCACTAGGACCGCGCCAAATCACAAGTCGTCATCCACAAGTAAGCAAAAGCAATCTGGTTTTTCATTTTTCAGCGCGGCTGAGCCCAGCCTGAGATTGATCGTCACATATGGCCCCAGAAAACAAACTGTCAATACCTTGAATGCTGCAGAATTTGAACAAATAGCCGTCCGCCCATTCAAGCCACTCATTGCATCCCATTTAACAGATTTTATTGACAGTTTCCTTCTTGTAATTAAAGGGAAAACTACTGGCCAGCAACCAAGATAAAGTTCAAAGATAGGGTCAAAACAAAAGCAGATGGAGGGGCACGGTGTGACTGTCAATGGAACATAGCATCAGAGCATGTTATTGACACACAGGTATCTAATGATCGGCACGTCATTAAAGAGGGATCTATCGTGAACTTTATGCAAATGCTAAAAGGGACTTAAGACCACAATAAAGCATTAAGGAGACACAAAAAGAAAAACAACAAAGCACAAACGATTTTTACTTATCTGACAGTATTCACTGGTTCAGCACTTTTAAATTCAAATGCAGAAAAAAAATTCTTTCTGAGATTTTTTAACTCTTGCTGCATAGGTAATAATTTTTTGCAGAAGCACTCTCATAAACGCAAAGGATCTATAAGGTAAGGTGTGGTCCTTGTGAGACTCAATATGGATTTCCTCCTTCCTCCCATATCCTGAATTTAGTCTATTAAATTAATCAGTAGCTCCCTTTAAAGAGAAAATATATAGCATATTCTCAAATATTCTTTCTTTTGCTTTAATTGCAATGATTAGACTTGTCTGGATTATGAAATGGATTTAGGAGAACAACATCTATTTTCATTTGAAAAGATCTCTGCCTGTAAAATACTCTCAAAATAATACAGTGGAGTAGTCTCCACTCCCTTGGGAACATATTCCACAATTACTTTGAACCAGAAAGTTGTTCTTAGTTTGAACTTTTGTTTCTTGCCTTTTAGGTTTAAAGTCTGATTAGCAATTTCTTATTCTAAAATCCTGTTTTAAACCAGCCCACAGAAAATATTTCAGAAGAAAAAGAAAAAAAATAAAGCAAAGAAAAGAAAAGAAAAGAAAAGAAAAAGAAAGAAAGAAAGAAAGAAAGAAAGAAAGAAAGAAAGAAAGAAAGAAAGAAAGAAAGAAAGAAAGAAAGAAAGAAAGAAAGATTAAAAATGTAGCAATCATCATGTCAGTCTGCCAACCTGAATTAGCAAGTGCTATAGCTTTGAGGGTGACAAATTCTTCTTTCTCCAGCTTCATGCTCTTGTATTTCTTTACCAGCTGCAGTATGGCATTGTTAAGGTCAAGAAGGCCTGCCAATTTGGACTGGTCTTCATCCATAATATAATCTTCAGCATATACAAGCTCATCTTCAAAAGAAAGTGACCGGTATACAACACCGAGAATCAAGATCTCCATCCAAGCACTCTGCAGAAGGCTCATCTGGTCAGCTAGAGACAAAGTGGAGAATCCTGAATAGGAAAAAATAAAAATACAGGGAAAATATTAAGCACATTTGGAAATCTGATCCTCTTTTTGGTTTATTTTTATAAATATTGTGACAAAACATAACACATTCTATTATTCTCCCTTCTGCTTTTGTGTGTCTCCTCCCCATCGCACTACAGGAAAGTAAAACAATATAAAATCAAGGGTTTTTTTTAATCAAAAGAAAAGTTTTAAACAAGCAAGAATTTGCAGGCTCTTCCTGTAAAAATCATAATAATTTGTGGGGTACTTCAATGGCAATCTGTGATTTGTGTATCTTCTTTGTTGCTAAATACTTGTGCTTAGTTGTAAAATCCTAATGCCGTGAAACAGGGATCTGTTTACTCTATCCACCACTACCATAATCCAAGAAGGATAATTTATGAGAAAAAATAGAAAACTTTATTAAAAGGGAAGATTTGATGTTTTAATAGAATTAAGGTAAGGATGAAAAATAAAAAAATTATTCTTGAAGATTAACTTCAGGGAAAAGAGAAGTAACACCCAACCTTCTCAGAAAGACACTAATCATTTCTATCCTGGCTCCTGCCACTACTACACTTGTTGAAATAACAGGGTGGCACACTGAAGTGCCAACTGAATAGCAATCACACCATCCTTTTTGTGAGGGCAACCAAAAATTTATGAAATGCCTCTTAATGAACTTAACTTTTGCTTGTTTTTTTTCCCCCCCCTCTCCCTGCTGTCTTTCCTAATAGGATCACTAAGGGCAAATATCACTGCTGCCTTACCTTTTAGACTCTTGTTTACAATACCTGTTAATTTATTATACCAAACTGCTAATATCCCAATCACATTAGGTGCTAGAAAACAATATGGGAGAGGAAGTGATTTTCCTGGCCTGTTGGTGAAACGCAGCAGTTTGCCAGTTGGCACCATCAACCACAAGTACTTAATAAAATCATCAAAGGGGATTAGTCAAGCTTTTCTTAAAGGGTCTTAAGACATGTCTGAGGCTTTCATTTAGTTGTTTATGGAGTTGCTTACATGTCCTTTGACAGGTTTCCCGCTGTAAGAACATTCTTTTTGGCATTCAATTACACTTAAATGCATTTTTCTGTTTTTAAAGTCGAGAGTTACAGCCATGCAAGAATATATCATAAACTAGCAAATCTGCAAGGCATCTACTCCAAACAAGATTTTCTCTATAAGCACTAAGCAGCAAAACTAATACAATAAAAAAGAAAAGCCCACATCTAAGCCACCAGGCACCCATAAAAAATGAAACATAAAACTGGCTGCATGTGCTCTCTCTTTCATTTTTCTCTCCCTCCTTATTTGTTTTCATTTTCTCTTACTGTCTTTTGAGTCTTGTGATAGAACTGTAGCTCTCTGCCTTAAAAAAACCAAAAACCAAAACAAAACAACAAAACCTGGTCCAACGACAACAGGAAAACCTTAAAGATGTGACAGTGGAAAATAACCCATCTGTGATTAAAATAAATAAGAGTGAAAGGAGAAGAAATAATCATTTCAAAGGTTATAGGGAGGAATTCATGATTTCAATTAGCTCCAACATTTCTGTTCCTCGCCGGCTTTCAAGAACCAGTTTTTCTGCAGCAGCAGATGGACAGAGAATGTAGCCTGCAGCACCGTCCTGTGACAGCCCCATTCTCCCTCCCAGACACTGCTGTTAGTAAATAGATTTACACATTCTCCAATCTCCACACATCTTTCTGCCGAATAATTAAAAGCAGGATGATTAGTTTATTGAGTGGAAGGAGGAACTTTTTTATTGAGGTCCATCCACGATTTTATCAGGGCCAGCACTTTTACGGTTGTCATGAGGGTGCAGGCATCCAATTTTTCTTATCTGCCTGATTAATACAAACGCTGTTTCAGGACGCATTAATTAACAGATACAAATCTACGTTCTCATGGAAGGATCAATACAGAGAAGAAAAGAGGCATCAATGTGAATTTAGTGCTGATGATGGAGAAGGCACTCTATTGACATTTACGTGCATAGAAACTCTAAAGTTGCAGTGGAGCCCTTTTGTCCCTGTGATTTACAAATTAACAATTTTTTTGAGTATAACAATGTTTCACACACTTCTGAGACTTTAATTAAGCAAAAGGCAATAAAATCTGTTTTGATTAAAAAAACTTTAACCTGTAATTTCTCTCTGTATTCTTTTTTTTTTCCTGGAAAATCCCCAACTTCCTCCTTCTATTCACTTATCTATTTTCATACAGGTTCACTGGCATTGGTTTATTTTTAAAAGAAGAAATAATACTATGTTTCAATAACATTTATTGTGTGCCACAGCCAAAGAAAATTACATATGCCCTGTGAGGGGGGAAAATGAGATGTTGATATAATTTATTGTACTGCACTCTTGAAAAATCTGCATTCTGAAGCAGTAAATATACCAGTTGTTTTTATATGACACATAAAAAATCAAAAGAAATTTTTTACATTATAGAAAAACTGGCAAATATAAAGCATGGTGTTCCACTCTTCAATAATAAATCAAATCAACATGACTATTTTGTTCCTGATCGAAGTAACTTTCCCTTGAAAGCCTCTTCAGTGAAAGCATGTTTTAACTTTTAAAGGCATTCCTCATGGGAATACAAAGCTGAATCAAGTTGTAATTAATCTGGGTTTGTTTTGTTTCTTCAGAAAATGTGAAAGCATCCAGCATGTCTCTTGTATCACAGCAATGTCCTTTTAATATATGTTCAACAAGTCACAGTTAAAATAATAGACGGCACAGGCTGATATATTTATATACAGAGGTTTATTTTTAATTGTTTGGAGAAGGTTATATTTATTTCATGCTAAATTCAGAGTCTTTTGTGAGCTTTTGTTATGTGAATCCCCCAAATCAACCATGTTCTCTGACAAACCATGTTCTATATTAAATTGTAACTATTTTTTAAAAAGTCTTCAGCTTGGACCCTTCCAGCCTTCTGACCAGTGTTAGCCTCTCCAGTCCCATCCCCAAGCTCTGTCCAAACCACCCTGAGATGCTGCATAATGGTGTGGGTTGGAACTTTGTCATACATTGTGTGGGTCCTTAATCCTTCAGAGTCTTGCAGGTCACCGCTTCCAATGCACAACTGTGTAATGACATTTTAAAATACAATGTTGTGCATCTTTCTCCCCTTTTATCATGTACCATATTGGTGACAACTTTGATCTCTCTCCATCTCCCTCCCCAAGTCACTGCCATCTGATGTATCTGAGGCGTTTGCTGGCAGGATGACTCTGTACCTTGACCTGCAGTCAAACAGCGTGTTTATCTGCGATACAGCACACTCCAAATAAACCAGATGACAGTCTGCAATAACGTCATTTGGAAGGATTGAAAGGCTTCTCAAGAGTCAGGTACCCCTGAGGTAAGAAGCTTGAAGGAAGCATGTTTTGTGCCAACCCTCCTGCCATCTTCCACTAGACGCTCGTGCTTGACAATGATGCCATGGGCACTTGTCAAGATTTTTTTTTTTTCTTTTTTGCCTAGCAAACTGATGCACTTTGCAGTCAACTTACAAAAAAGGCTAAGCATTTGAAAGTGTGAAGGGCAAAAAATATCTGACGGCTAGTCTTCAAAAATACACTTTCATTTCAGAAAGCATAAATGTTTATTTCCTGAGCTGAGTGTTGACAGAAATAGGCTGCAGCGCAGGCATATGAATTTAACCCCTGCTAGGCATTCTGCTCTGTGTGGTTTTTATGTGACTGAGAGCAAGCGTTGTAAATCTACAGGGTGTCTCCTAATATCAGTTAACAATAGCCTTGATTTGCTGGTTACAGATTTTCTTCCTTTTTTTCCCTTTCTTTCTCCTCCTTTCAGAGACTGTAGTGTTTCTTCTGCTAAAAATAGATACTTTTCTACAAACACTGTATCACACTCAAATTGTAATTATGCTGTAATGACTCACTGAGATCACTGAGTGTGGATTTGGAAAAAAGGTTGATTGAGCAACTGAACATATGCTTGTTTTTTTTCTCCTTTTGCATACCAGTAAACCCAAAGCTCAAAGGAAGCAGACATAAATAGGTAAAAAGGCCTTACCATTTTTATTATAGGAACAAGGGGCATCGAGCTGACTGCACTCTGCAGTGCTCAGCACTCCAAGCCAGCTCCAAACACAGTTCACAGCCTCTTCAATGGGGCTGTTTAAACCACAGATCTTTTCAAATATCAGCACATGCACCACTTGCTCTCTATTTCACATTGCACACAGCTCCATGCTAAGCAGGGTAAATCTTTTATACTCCTGAAGACCCTTTCCTCTACTTCATTACGATGGACTCCATGGACAGTAACTCACTAGGGGCCAGAGTGAAGCAGCTGCAGATGGTCAAGTGCTGAAGTAAGATCTGTGCCTTGCACACAGCACTTCGAGAACTACTGGACAAAAAAAAAAAAAAAAAAAAAACAGTGGCTGGACTTACCATTGTTTTCATCTGTAAACATTTGATGTGATGCCTCAATCAGGCTACTTAGACTTAAATCCTGGAGTTTATTTCACTTTCAGGGACTTAATTTCATTCAGTCTGATATGTGTTTAGAAATCTGAACATTTGATCAAACCAAGTATGAAATTGCTGGCAGATCTGGGAGTTGCTTGCCTTTTCTGGTAATTGCCTCCCATTTATTTTACTGGTTGTTTGTGTGATTGTTAACTTTATGCGTAAAATATTCCTCTTGCCCTGGTTTGTACTTCAAATATCTTCATTTACATTTTTTATAATCAAAGCTGCACTTGCTCATGACATGTTCACTAGTGTATTACAGATGCAATACATTTACACAGTTGAAATATCAAGAGTAGGATTTTTAAATTATTTACACTTAATTTTGATAGATTAACTTCTTTCTAAATGTTTTATGGGTACTGATGTTTCCAGCACAGGTTTTTATTTCATTTCAAAAATTATGTATAGTCATCACTGCCAAAAGAAGAAACTGATATCGTAAATACTTAAAAAATATATTTTAGTTTGGATTAC